ACGTAACCCGAAATCTGAAAAGGCCATGACTGGAGGCTTGCTAGGGTGTTGGCGAAGAAAGGCAGGAGCAACTGCATTCGTCTCAAATTGGATCTCCTTTTTCCTTTCGAAAGCTCCCAAACAGGGTATCCCTCGACGTGAGGTCGGGTCTTGAGAACCTCGAAGCCTCGATCCGACGTGTGTCCAACCCGCGCCGAGCCACGCATCAGCGAGCCGCCCGCGGCAAAGCAGAGGGCGAGCAAGGAGGCGGTCTGCGAGCCGATGCAGCCGAGATCCCAATGGTGAACCCCCCGGGCGTTCGCTGAAGCCGGGGAGCACAAGCTCTGATGGCTTTTTGGCTCCCTGTGACCCACTAGACATGGCAAGGTTGTAACCAGTGCCCTACCCCTCAAAGTACTCCGCCCACGTCTGGATTGGCCCCTGGCCCGTCTGGGATTTGGCCTCCGGGGGGCTGGGGGACCGCGCCACCAAGAATGGCTTCAAGGGGGGTTGTGGCGCTGCTCACTGGATGTCTGGATGTAAGCCAACAGAAAGCCCACCTTTTTACAGGGTCAGTGACTTGCACTGAGCCTGAGCGCGCGCCTCGCGGCAAGCTACGGCAAAGTCTGCCAAGGGAATATGTTTGTTTCCCTGTTGCAACCTCAAAGCTGAAAGGATCTTTCGGACTGGCTTTGAAACACCCAGATCAAAGAAACACTTAATTTCTACAGAGTCCCAAGCTTCATCTGCCAATCCTGACAGGCGGTTTTGTGTTCAGGAAACCGCTTTGCCTACCTGCGAGAGGGAGATTCGAATCTCACCCCTCACCTTGGAGTGCTGCTTGGAGGGCTGTCTGTAGGCACTGACCCTTCAGCGCATAGAAAACAGATCCTGAACCTTCCGGGATACATGGGCAACGCCTGTGACTACATTCTATAACATTCAATTCAACTCCCATGATGTATCACGGAAACTGACCCTCACACCTCAAACTGAGCCAGCCACACCATTTGTGTCAGGAGCCCAATGACTTCAGCCTCCATTTGCTTGAGTTTCCTGGAAAAAAACAACATAAAATCTGTCCAGTAGTGAAATCAAGTCCCTTTAAAACCAACAGGGGAAAATTCAAAAAACAATTTACCCAAATGGAAGTCAGCGTTGTCCGACCTTCATCTACCCGGCCCCGTTTCGCTTGTGCCTCATTGCATGTGACTTCAAGGGCCCGAGGCCGCCAAATGCAACCAGCGGCCGGACAGCAACCAGCTTTGGGCTCGCAGATCCCAATTTTTCGAGAGCAAACTCGCGCAAAACCACCAGCTCCCCGACCGAAAATCAGAGCTTGCGAAAAAGCTTGGCTTACTTTGTGAGACGAGATGCCTGGAAATAGGACTTGGAGGGCGTTGCTCAACGAAACAACGGATCCCGCCTTCTCCCCGCGAACGCAGAAAATGCTGCCAGAGCCTGTGGGCGGAATTCCGGGTCGGACTTGTCAAACCCCGGACTCCAGGAGGAAAAGGGAGACCCTTTTTGTTGATTCTGACTTGGGAAACCCAATGTCAAAAACGGAAGACGGGTGTATTCATCCAGCCCCTTGTCAGGTCCCGCAAATGACCTCAAGGCACTCCTTTTGAGACGACGCCATGCGCATAGCCATGGTCTAACTCCTGAGCATCGTGTTTCCCATAGGAGCAATAGGTTTAGAACCCCCTACGAGGTCAAGGACGCAGTCTGTTGATGGCACATATGGGGTGTGTTTTTTGAGGCTGGGAACCTTTTCTTAAAGAACAACGCAAAGTCATGTTGTGCGGTCCAATCCCTACTTGGACATGGGTTTGTCTCGAAATCGGGGAATCCTGAAAAAAGGCGGTTGTTCATTTGTTTCCCCTCAAAAACATAACAAGAAGGGAGCACCCCTAAAATCGGGACCACACCCATATCTTGGGCTCCAGGCAAACCAGAATTACGGAGAGCACCGTGAGGAGGTCGAGTGTGCGCCTCTCAAAGCGGCGCGTGAAAATGCTGGTTCGATGCGGCCCAAAGCGATGCATGGGTCTGTCCGTCCGATAGGGAACCCCCTAAAAAGGCTCAGCCAAAAGGAAGCCGACTATTTTGTTGGCCACATGTTGAGACCCCACATGGCGTAACCTTGAGAGGCTGAACATCACAGCATGAAGTCGAAAGACTTTCCGTTCAACAAAATGCTGCCCTTCAAGTGGCACTTGGGGCACTCCAGCAACTGTGGAAGTGACAAGTGCCTGAGATGCGGCCTGGACATCACGGTTCCGAAGCACAGAGAAGAACCAAAATTGGTCTTCCCTGGAGATCCTTCTGGCTTAAGATTCCGACAAACTCATTGACTGCGCCATCCCTTCCAAAACTTGATTTGATTCAAACCGTTTTTAGAAAGTTGACTTTATCTGGATTTTGAACCACTCCGAGCCAATGTCTTGAACCGCAAGAGGACAAGCACATTTTGGGCCACCCCATTCTCTTCTGACCAGGCGACATCGCTAGTCCCAGAGCCCAAGGCAGTACCAAGATTCATTGAAGGGTCCTTTCCCTGTCGAATGCCATGAAATAACCCTGGCTGAATAAGCATCTGGTAATTTCGATTGGGGGTGTCCCCTTTCAGTGGGGATTCATCACTTTTGCAGGGAACACCCCCCCTATCAATAGGACAGGTTTAGAAAAATGAAAAATCCGGGGTCAACATATATTAGGTATTCCTGAAAGCCTCACCGTGTTTGCAGCTTTCTTGATATCATTCGGCTTCCGTCCGTTTCCGGGTTCCGTCCGATTCCAGCCCCGTTTCCCCGCGCTTTCCCTTGAGCAGCTCCAGAGAGAAGGTGAACATGGGTGTGCAGGAGGCCTCACGGCGGGCGCCCGGAAACCAATGCCCGGGGGTTTCAATCCGAATGTGGCATTCATGGGGGCTGGGGGGGAGGGAGGGGGGGGGGAGCCCAAATAAGCCATAAATAAGGCCTTATTAAGGGCTTATTAAGGGCTTAATAAGGGCTTATTTGGGCTCCCTCCCCCTCCCCCTCCCTCCCCCCCAGCCCCCATGAGGCATTTGAGATGGTTGATATGCAAAGCAATCATGTGGATAGGCACCATCCACTTGGCACCAATTCATACAGGTGTACTTTTTTCGGGATCCACCTATCCCAACTGCTGCGAAACGGATTTGGAACAAGAGTGCAGGAAGGAATGGCACCCCTGGAATGGCCACCCCACATAGCCACAGTCAACCCCGAGGGTTCCCTTTCACCGGCCCTCGTCTGAGAACTTGAGGCCGCCGCCACCATGGATACGAAGGCTACTCCTCCGGCCCGCGCGAGGGATCAACGGCTTTCAAAGCATCTGAGGCACACTCCAAGCCCGGTATTAAAATCGTCTACCCAGAGCCATGTAAGAATTCTAAGAAGCCGGAGATCCGCAACTATTGGCTGGGACTGCTCCTTAACCTTCAGCCACCCGGGTTTTGATGGCTCATCTTCGCCGCCTTCGCCTCCTTGTGAGAACCCCCCCCAGCTAGTATGATGATGCCTGGCAGTACAAGTAGCGGAAAGAATCGTAGCCTCATTCGCAGAACTGGGGGAAATATGTGCAGAGATGCATTCGTCATATAAATGCCGTCTAAGTGTCCCGATCATGGCTCACTCAGGGATCCTTACCTGTGCCCTTTAAGCAACCTCAATGAAAACTCAATTGGCATTGGCACTCCAGATGCTGTTCAAGCCGCGCAAAGAGGGGACCCCTGTCATGCAAGCGTCATGCAAGCGACGGCCCAGATGGACAAATGCGACATCATTGTTGCTTGTGGGAAAATAAGTCAGTCATCCCATGTTCTTGCCAAATGGACCATACATATATATATATATACACATAAAAACATACATATATGTATCCATCTCTCTCTCACTCTCTCTCTCTCTCTCTCGTCCACCCCGAATCCCCCCCATCCCCGGGGCTGGTTAGTTTAGGGTTGGGTGGGGATGGTTTTACAGTTGGTTTAGGGATGGTTTAAGGTGGTTTTACAGTTGGTTTAGGGATGGTTTAGGGCTTTACGGTCGGCTTGGGGTTGGCTTGGGCAATCTTCAAGGGTTGTTTTGGAAAGCATTTTGGGAACACCCTGCCTGCCTTGTGGAGTCATTTTAGGGTTTGCTTGCGTTTGGTTTGGTCTTGGTTGGCTTGCTCACAAAGAAAATTTACAAGCAACTTCCGAAGTGCGGACACTAATTGGAAGCTAGCTCTCTGACCAAAGAAGTGAGAGAAATAAGCACGGATTGAAACAAATCCGCGCGTGTAGCACGGACTCGACATGTGTGAACAGTGCAGCCTGCTGCGGGGTTGGGAACAGAACGAGTTGTCTAAGGTCGACCCTCCGACAGTTCAACTCTTGACGGTTGCACAAGCTGATCAATTTAAGAAAACACAAGTTTTTTGGAGGGTCGACCCCCTAAACTGCGCTGGGGGTGCGGGAGGATACCACGGCAAAGCGACAGGTGGGAGGGGGGTAGGAGGGGGGAAGGACGGGGTAGGAGGGCGGAGGACGGGAGCACGTATATATATATATAAAAAAGGCCTAGACCACGATATTTTGAATGCACCTCGACATGAGCCTTTTCTGAAAATGAGGGACCCTTTGAAGTGGCTCTTTAACTGTTTCCTTGACACCAGGCTCGATTCTCCATGCCAGATCGCCTCCATAAAGCATGGCCGTGTTGTTGCTCAGCAAAGATGCCCCGTTGACGACCTCGCGACGGGAACCTAACCGAAACCCACGCTTGATTGCCCTGGGCCGCAAGTGAACGCAGTTTGGGGGAGGGGCCAACAACAGGGAGTAAATCCTGGAAGTGTCAAAACCCTCATTCATGGGACTCCCGCTATTTCCGTCAGAAGGCAATCTTTGGACAAAAGAACGGGGAATGGCACACAGAATCGAGACAAGCATGGGTGTGTATTTATTGAAGGGTACGCTTTTTGGGATGGATTTGATTAGGAGAAATACGATTGAGTGACGCATCAAACATCCGAAATGAGAACTCGTTACCCATGCGGTGAAGCCTTCAGATTTGAAGGAACATGAACTGCCAGGTTGATTCGTCCGTCGGCACTCCAAAAAGAATCCCAGCAACGACTGACCAAAGTCTCTGCTTTCAGATTCCAGATTTGGGGGTGCTTTGTAAGTCACCCAAGCTGTGTGCCAAGCACAAAAAACATGCGGGGAGTTGGGGAAGGACCCTTTACCACCCACTGTTGGGCTCTTGGGAATGACTGGGACCGGTTCATTCCCCAGCGGCCCTGAGGAGCGAGTCCCACAAGGCTCCGCCTTTCGCTGAGTCCCCGCACCGAGATGGGCAACACCACCCACGCCTGAGCAAAACATCCAGGGTCCCCCAATCGGTCCTTGGAGGCAATGCCCGGTGGTCCCACATGTTCAAGGCCATAGTTTGAACAATATTCGAGTGCGTCAGCATAGCTTGCTTGCAGAAATTAACCCCTCTGCGGAAAGTGTTCCACTTCCCTCGGCTCACCTGGGGCAAACAAATGCTCCGATTCGGGAACCGGAGTACCGCGATGAGGGGACCTGGTCCCCATAAACTGCACTGTCCAAACTGATTGCTCAAAACTCAGAAACTGCCTGGTGTCCCTTTGACCTACCACTTCACCAGCTACTAAAACCCAAAACGCTAGAAGGCAAGGGGCTGGGAGCCACCAAGCAAAACCAATTTGGGGGCACCACTCCCTTCAATCCGCCGGTTCCGCCCAGGGTCAAATGGTCGCTGTCAGGCTTGGCCTACAAACAACGGGTGTGCACATGAGTCTGTCTGATTTAGACGGGCCCTGAGGGTGTTTGTTTGCAACCTTCCTGATGGCTCCTTGATACTCCATTGATTCACCCAGATGCGATGCGCTTGTTTTGAGCAGGGGCCCACCATTTGAACTTGGTCCCATTCCCCATTTTGAGGCATACGCACATGGAAGGGCAGGCTCTTTTTTGCAGACCTCATTTTCCCGACGCGCAGCCAGCCATACCTTTTACCTCGGAGTCCAGGTTGTCTCGTGGGGGTCTCACACACCCAGCCGTTGGTTCTTGGCAGGGCAGTTTTTGTGCCAATTGGGGACACGAGGATGATTTGATCCTTTTTGGCAAGATAATCTTAGTGGCAAAAAAGAGCTGTTTTCGGCCCATCCAATCAGGAAGTGAGTGGGGTACCGCTCATTTCTTGTGGCTTGAAAAGTACACCACACGGCGCCTATTTCTTGTGGGTGCCCCAAAAAACAATCAATCACACACATGTTAAAACTGCCATTGTTGAAGCAACCACCCTTCAGTTTCCCGACACATGCTAGGGTCAGCCATATTTTCCCCAGCTGAAGATCCCTCACCCCACCTTGTGGGTCCGAAGCTGACCAGTTCGAGCCTTAGAAGGCCCCTCCGCAAAAACGGGGATTTCCAGCCCCCAGCCCCAATATAAAAAAAAAAAAAAAAAACGGGGTGTCCAGGGCCATGGTGGAATCCATGCGAGCTTGCTCGAAACCCTGTGAAAGGCTGCCTTGGCTTGAAACCCGGCTCAGTTGTCTGGGCTGTCCCCAAATCCCAAAGTTTGACTCGGTGAAATGGACACCCAGCACTCCACCAACCTGACGAGAGCCAGGAGAGCCGAGATTTGTTCCTGCCGCAATGTTTGCGAGAGTTCCTAGCCTCCTCCAGTAGAGAGGTTAGAATAAGGGTACACTTTCTTGCTGTAGTCTATTTTAGTAGGGAACCCTCCCCCAAAAAAGAAACGGTAAAAGGGCACTGCCGGGACACCTAGTAGCTGACCCCCTCGCGGGCGTTTGGAAACGAAAATCAATCCTCGCTTGCCTCGCTGAGCCTGGGCCGCTCGAAGAAGCCGGCCACCAGAGAGGTGCAGAGCATGTGGACCCTGGGACGCTCGCTTCAAGTCGAGCGACCCAAAACCCAAAACCAGGTGGCGGGGGGGGGGGTTTGGGAAGAGGACTTTTGGCCGCTACACGCCCAAGTTGGCAAAAAAAAACATGGGACGCAGGACTGAGAAGCCCATACGCTGAGATGGTCTTGAGCACTGAAGGTCAAATTTTCCACGGCGGCTTCTGCCGGCCCAAACTCAAGCTTCCGGCAGCCAGAAGTAATCAGCAAGATTTTATACATACCCTTTATAGTTGGTGCGTAGCGGCTGTATATCTGCGCATCCCATTGAACTCCAGTGGCTTAATAGCAGAAACCATCTTGATTTCGAACTATGGCCATTGGCAGGCCCAGAAAGCCCCCCAGCTCCTCCCCCCTTGAGATGTTATCTGAACCGGGGGTCAAGTAGAGGGTCTGAGGAATGGGAGAACAACAAACCTGTAGAGAGTCTCAGACATAGACATTTATCCATCCGCTGTTGTTTTCCGATTGGAAGATGTACGCCTCGAGTTGCCCAAAGGGTATGGGGAAACAAGTTGGGGCCCACAGCCCGTGGAAATCGGCGCGTACAAAACAACAATCCCTAGCAGCGTGGTCTCAAAAACTGTTTAGCACCGAACGCGGACATGTCGCCAAATGGGTCGAGCCCCTTCGCTGAATATCTTTGGAATGACAATACGGCATCCACATTTGGCATCGACCAGGGTCAGCTATGGGGTCCAATGAGCTCCCCATTTAATTGTGTTTGGGGTGGACTGCTGGAGTCATTTGCGCTCTTTCCCTGGAGATTCGGGTTTGGTGTTCGTTTGTGAATGGATTCTTGCGAGTCTGTGGGGCGATGCCAAAGTGACTGACTCAAACTTATGAACAAACCCCACCCTCGGAAACCTTCTGCACAAATCTGGGACCCCGGCGCTGTAATGGTGTCAGGGTACGGAAAGCCATTGTTCATCGTCTCCTGCGAATTCAAGCATCGAGGTGGTCATAGGAGAATGTGCAAGCGTGAACACATGACCGTTTGGCGGAGCCTATGACATCTTCTTGAAAACGCGGTTGCTAAGCATAAGGCATAAGGATGCGACTTCACTGAGCGGATATAGGACCCCAATCAAAGGACTTTGCTTCTTGCGTCGTCAAGAGAATATACGTCACCTCCCACTGCTCATCCCATGATTTGCTTGAAGCTGTTTCCCTTTTTCGAAGTGCTCTCTCATCTCTGCGCGTGTCAAAATAAGGAGCCAAACAAACCCGAGCGACCCCTGGTCCAAACTTCTGCTTAGGCCAAAAGCTTGGATGATCCTTTCAGTAGTCCAATCAGAAAAATGGGTCTCTCCTTGTTCCCAGCAATGAGTCTATCAGGCCTTCCTCAAATGGGGTCTTTCGAATCCCAGATCAGCCAAAAAGCAACGTTTTGGGTTGACGGGGGGGGTTTGCTCGTGCCCCGCGCATGCCCCGCGCATGCCGAGCCTCAGCGTGCTTGCGGCTCTCGAGGAGGGGGGAGGGAACGGGGGGGAGATGGAAAGAACACAGGTCCATGTTTCCAGCATGTCGAGGCCAACTTCAAGCTAGTCGATCCCATCCCCAGCCCCACACGCAATGTGACTTCTCCGCTATCTGCGCGCTCTATGCGACTGCGCAGTCCTATTTTCTTATCTGACACGCTGCCACTTTGCCGCAGGTGGTTTTAGACACCTGGCGTCTGAGAGGGCTTGGGCCTTCTTGCGTTTGAAGGAGCTTGTCTTTATCTGCGCTGCGCTCTCAGTACCAAGCAGGAACGGAAGTTCTGCCAGCAAGTTACCAGCGCAGCTCATGACTTGTCTGCTTCGCATATACAAGGCAGCCCGGCCTGGACAGCTGCATGAAAGTGTTGGTGGCAGTCTGAAGGTCTCTCACTAACAAAAGTCAAGCCACAGTCCTGCCAGCACCGCGTATTCGAATCTGAGATTCGATTACGCGAAGTTGGGCATTTGCAGGCTTTCCTGTGATCCGACCGAAGCCACGATTCACCGCTATTTGCATGGGATTTGCACATTTCCCAACCCACGTCCAAGACTGAACAACATTCGGTCCGCCCGGCAACCCAACGTGTTGTCTTGCCCTCGCTACATCCAACATGGAGCGGGGCACCAACTGTCTGGGTGCTGTGGTCATGTGAGGCGAATGGAGCACCGTCACTGCAATCCATGGCCCCAGATCCTTGACCCACATTTTCACGAGGGACAGGCACGCCAGGTACACCACCACCTAAGTGAAAACCGGCGCTGGCAGGATGCAGCCTCCCAAAAGCAAACATATAACCGGCATGACCTGCATTGGGGCTCTGGACCATTGCCTCTAACACTACGGGGATCCTTTGAAAGAATGCCTTTAAGAAATTCATGCTGGACGGGCCCGGTCCTTTATTTCCGCAAGACGCAAAGGGAAACTGGGTGCTCGAGGTGAGGTAAGGGTTGCACTTGTCGCTATTACTTTCCACTTGACCCTCCGTTGAGACCCATCGATCTATATATCTATCTAACTATCTGTCTGTCTATCTATCCTTCTATCTATCTAATCTGTCTATCAAATGGGTTCTAATCTAGTTTGACTTATGTGTCTATCTTGTCTGCGTCCGCGTCTGTCGATCCTCCTACCTAATATTTGTAGTTTTATAGGTGTATGTATATCTATATATATATATATACATGATACATGCATGTACTAACACATGAATTGTGTATGAGTGTGTCCTAAAATAGGGGACCCCCAACATGGCGGCTTTCCCTGTAGTTGTCCTTTAACGACCACCCCAACAAGGCGCCCTCAAACACACAAACACAAACACAAACACAAACACACAAACAAACACACACACACACACACACACAAACACACACACACACACAAACACACAGACACAGACACAGACACAGATACAGACACAGACACAGACACAGACACAGACACAGACACAGACACAGACACAGACACAGACACAGACACAGACACAGACACAGACACAGACACAGACACAGACACAGGACACGGACACGGACACGGACACGGACACGGACACGGACACGGACACGGACACGGACACGGACACGGACACGGACACGGACACGGACACGGACACGGACACGGACACGGACAGGGACAGGGACACGGACACCGACACAGACACAGACACAGACACCCACACCCACACCCACACCCACACCCACACCCCCACACCCACACCCCCACACCCACACCCACACCCACACGCACACGCACACGCACACCCACACACACACACAGACCCATTTCTTTATCTGCGGGTTTGTCCGAACATAAGAAATACCTTTGGGCGATGCTCCTGGGGTGTCCAACCGTTTTGAACGGGTGCTCTTAAAGGAAAAAAGGCGAACCCCACAATGTGTATATGTATCTTCAGCATTGCTTTCATGGATAAGGGTCTCTCATGAGTGGATGGGCCAAACAAAGTGCAACCTTCTGTTTGCCACTCAATGCTCTTCATAAAGAAGAGATAACGTTTAGAAACTCAGGAAGTGAGGTATATCAACCGGCTTTTCTTAGCGATATCAGAAAGCCAGCCTTGGCATGCGTCCTGTGACCATCCTTTCAGGTTGAAACTACAACCACGCTTAAAACAGGGCCCTGTGGATGTGGACCTTGTGCATGCGCACCTTTTTGCTCATCAAGGTAGTCTACAAAAGACAGCCTGTTTGGGAATGGTTCTCTCGAAGCCTCCGCCCCTTTTTTTGCGATACCATCACACATCCAATCCACTCAAGCGGGGTTGTCTGAACATAGTGGACCCCCAAAAGGGTTGGTTTCCCGTGAACTTTCCTTTTAAACCACCCGAAAAAGGGTGCGGAACCAAACCCTAATCTTGTGAGTTATTTCGGCCACAGAACACGCAAGTGTCTTGCAAAATAGCTCTGACTGAACCGTTGGAGGATAACTGTCACCCCTTTGTTGTCTCAGCTTTTGCTCACACAACAATATGTTGAATTCTGGTCCATACGGGCGTGTTTTGTGGGGAAACCCTCTTTGGTTGGTTCTAAGCAAGAACAAAGGAAAAGCACAAGTTGTTGCTCCCAAATTCAAACACATACCCATATTTACGTTGCGAATCTTGACATGTAATGAAGCATCCCAACAATCCCAGGTATGTCTTTCAAACCAATTTGATCCCCATCGCCAAACACATGGGGATTCTGGATCAGACAAATCCTTGTGGCTTGGAGCAATGCTCTATTCTAGCGGGGTTCAACTTTGGTGTTCTTTGTTCAATATTGCCGTGCCTCAGAAAAGGCACAGAGTCTAGTAAACCGCCAGTCTGGCACTACTTGCCCCCCCTCTTGGCGAAACTTCGAGGGACCATGGACTTTTTGGATAGAGTAACCCAAAAAGCCGAAAGGAAACTAGCCGCAGAGTTGGGACCCACCAACAGTCATCCCATTGGGAAGACCATTCTAGTTGATCGGACGATTTCCCACTTTGAACCACCACATTGGGAGGCGCATCACGAGGGCAGGGCGGTGCAAAAGGGCTTCAGGCCCTCGTTGAAGCCAATGGGACCTGAGACGCGCGTTCCACCGGTGGCATGGCGTCAACAGCGACATGTGTGATGCTTGAGGCTCAGCACCCGTTCTTTTCACGGCCGGATTAGAGCCAAAAAAAAACGGCGACTCGCCTTTTCAGGTCGCCGCTATTTTGGCACCCCCCCCCCCCCACCTAGCTGTGGTAGGCTGCCAACTGCGTCCAACCCACTGCATTTTTGGGTGTATGATGCCCACTGGCCACGGCGAAGATCCGTATTGAAATTTTTACTCGGATGTTCAACCTACGCCTCAGCAGGTTCTAGCCCTACTATTGGTGGGTTTGATTGCTATGGTAATTCTGTAACCGGTGGTGAACTAAGGGAGCCAACCGCTGCTTCCTGAGCAAGTTGGGCAAACAAGTCCCAAGTCTTGTTTGCCACTGACATGGCCCAAATCCAGAAAGTGACTAAGGTCCAGGACCTTAGGTGAGATCGCTCAAACGATTCCGCCGGCAAACGTTGCCAGCGAACCGCTCAAAGCGGTTAGGAGCGCCGAACGGGTGCCACGAAACCAACTGGGTGGTGCCCTGTGGTCTAGCAATGGCCGAAACGGCCGTGTCCAGGATGTAATGAGAAACACGTGAAACGAAAGTTGGCCAAACTTAGCGCTTTTCCCCCCCCTCCGACGGAAAAATTGAAACAACATAGCAGTAATGTGGCAGAGCCGGGGTTTCAAACATATAAGAACTAAACTTCTCCCTTGCCCTTATCTTTCTCTTTCTCGTTAATCTGTCTCTTTCCCTTTCTCTGTCTCTTTCTCGTTCTTGTCTCTGCCTCGTCCTCTTCTTCTGAGTCTTGCTCTTTCTCGTGCTCGTTATCTTTCTTATTCTCTTTTGCTTTATCTTTCTCTGTCTCTTTCTCTATCTCCTCCATTTCTCTCTGTTTTCGTGAGTGTTTGCAGGTCGACCCAGCCAAAGTGCGCAAAGGGCTCGCTTTTTGAAAAAAATGCGAAAGAGCGCCTCGGCACAGGCGGGCTTGTTTGTCTTAAGGATCACGTGTAGGTGCATGCATTCCTGGAGAGACGAGAGAGCTCAATCGCTTCTACTACGGAACCTCGTTCTAACATTCCTTTGACTAGATTCAAACTCGGGTTGTCCTTTTGCCGCCTTAACATTTGGCATGCCAAGAGGAAACCAATTTCCACTCGGGCGCTTTTCGCAAAACAATTCTCCAACCCCCCCCCCACCCAAAGCACAGCTTTGTGGACACTTGGGATTTGGGACACGGTTGAAACAAGAGTTGTTGGGGGTGGTTGGTCGAAAACAGGCACGGTTAAAGCACCCAAACAACATTTATTTCACGCTTAGCGCTCACCGAGTGCTGCACTAATGGCAATGAAGATGAGAACCTGCAGTGCACAAAATAGCGGGACCCCCAAAATGCGGTCGTTCCTTTTGTTTGCCTTTGAAAGCAACCCAACGCAAATCTGCCCTCAAGAAACACAGATGTATGGGTGCGTGTTTGTGTGCATTTTTGTTTGTTATCTTACCACCAGCATGGTTGGTTGTCCTTTGGGTTTTCTTTAAACCTCAAATAACAATCAGAGCCTCCCAAAGCGACACACACTCAGATGTGCAGATAGGGCTTGACCCCCTTCTGTCCCCACATGATTTGCTGTTGCCTGCACAGGGGATGTCTTGACCTAGGTCCGGAGGTCCCCTGGACCCGGCTTCAAGCAGCGGTTTTTCAGCTACCACCCTCAAGCTACCCAAAAAAGGGAACTCGACCTTTGGCTTTGGCCAATTTGGGCCTTCACGGCTTGCCTGCCAACAGGAAGGGGTTGGGGCTTTGGCGGCGATAGGACAAACACGAAGGGGCACAGCTGTGTCACAATCAAAACCTAGTATTAAACTGGTGTACCCAAACCAATGTAAATAACTACAAAGGCAGGCGGCCGCAACTATTTCTGGCCCTGGGACTTTCCCTTGCTAAGCCTAACTTACCCGGATTTTGATTAATCATGGCTCACCTGTTTAGCAAGGATACTGAGACAGCGGCGGAAAATGTAGGCTTTGGGCTTGCGACTAATGGCGGGTTGGCCAATCCTGATCCTAGTCTCTATAGCGCGCCACTACAAGTCTAAAATATGTTTTTTGCCAATAAAGTACAAAGTCCGGAAACGCAGGGAGTGAGATGAGGGGTGGTGGCAAACTCGCGGAGCCGAGCATCCGTGGACAAAAGCGTTTGGGGGAGATGATAGGGCCTTACGGCTCAATGCCTTGGATGTTGCACAGGTTACAGGTTCCAGGAAGATTCCCAATCTGTTCGACCTTGGGATTGGGGGCAATCGCGACCCCAAGAATAAAAATGGTCAAATGGTCTGGCTTATTTCAGTGCAACGACGAAATCCATTCCGAAAACCACGAAGAAACCAATGGAAAAAAACCATTATCCGTATTTCACCGGAGAATCGAACTCATTTCAGGGTGTCCGAACGGGAATTCGAAAACGTCGAATCCACCTCCTGCTGAAAAATGTTCACCCAAACCTATTTGAAGCCTTGAAAATCTTCACAACCCAGGAAAGAGAACCAAGGAGCAGTAAGGATGTACACGGCTCTCCAGCTCTTTTCTTCCTCAGCGCGGGCGTTCAACTAAAGGCAGAAGCTGATTGGAAACCTATGAGTTGTTGCTTCAACAGGTCGAACAGAATGCCAAACAGCAGCATGACGCTTGTTGGTTCAAATCTGGGCTGTGGAAGTCCCTATTCAAAACCTAAACACCTAAGGGGATGGCTTGTGAAAGCCGACAAATATGCAGCAAACAGCCTACAGCCAACCTTCTAACCCGTGGCAGATTGGTACGCGTGGTAGAAAGTCCAAAGCGGAAGTACCACAAAAAATGGGACATCGGGAGGTCGGGAGGTGTCAGTTCACGGCACAAGGTTCGCGTGGTGGCATCTGTGCCTTCCCTGCTGCTCCTGTGCCCCATGAGCCAATCTTTCTGGGACCTTCACTGTGGTCCTTGGCCCACAAAAAAAAGGGCACACGAAAAGTCGCTTTGGAGACCGGGGTTGTCTATATGATTATTCCCTGTGCAATGCTTCATGATCTCCAGTACCCACATAGGCCTTTTTGCAATAGTATGAGCGTGCCTCTGGTTTTGGCTGAGAGGCAAGGGCAACGCGACAACTACACATGGCAAAGCCTAGAAAGCCTTGGTTGCTCTGCGGCAATTTGCGAGTAATATGAATGCCCAGATTGGCGTACCTTGTTGAAGGGGCCCTGAACAACCGCTGTTTCTTGGCGTCCCTCAATTTTCATTCAACTTGACTGTAGACCCAAACAGGGCCCCAAAGGGTAGATTCATCAGCCTGGGGATTCTGAGTCCAAATCTCAGCGAATAGAGGATTAGTCTGTTGTGGGACCGCCTAAGTCGGCACAAGATCAAATGATTCGAATTTGAAGCAGGCCAAACCTTGAACTGCCACAGATCGAAGCCTGGACTCCGAGACCGGAGACCGGAGACCTGAGACCGGAGACCTGTGTCCTCTCGCGCTTGAAGGGTCTCAACATGGAAACTGTTGACCTTGAGGGAAATAGAACGCCCTCGCGAAACGACGTACAGGCAAGTGAACTGGGCCCCTTGTGGAATCTGATCAGATTGCTCCAGATTCCGCGGGCTACATTGGTACCTGAAGCCAACCCAAGGAAACAAACCAACGCACTTGAGGTGTTGACATCTTGTGAATGCTCGCGTTCAAAACCAAAGGAGACTGTCCAGAATCTTACCCATTTGTTTTCTACATGGTTGCAAAGATTTATAGACCTCGATCTTATAGTATGTATACCCCCGCCTCAGATTTCATGAGGTAAAAGCCGATCCCACCTACTACAATGGCCCTGTTGGGTATTGTTTGGGCGGCGCATAGGCCTTGCGGATTGCCCCGCTCGCTCGCTCGCTTGGCCAATTTTTGCCGCGGACTCGGGTGGCTAAAGGCTAATCAAATGCATCCAACTCTAAGGCAAACCAAACACATATCTGAGATCACAAACACACGTACACTCGAACAATGTGCGGGTATGGCTTCCCCATCTGAAGACAACCCCCTCCTTTTGAGGGGGCCGGAAGGGCTGCGGAGTTGGGCATTGATTGAAACCACCACTGCTCCCATTTGGCTGTTTCAGCGATGGTTAAACATGTTTAAGGAAGGGGCTGGCAAAAACTGATTTGAAGAATTGCAAGTGGGGATTGAATCGCCCAACCCTTGGCAGCCAAAGTTGGCGACGCTGAATACTTTGAAGTGGCTCGCTTTTCAGCTTTGCCTTCATCTCGTATTTAAACCATCCTTGTGTTCACTAGGTCCTCCAGTAGAGAGGTTAGAATAAGGGTACCCGTTGTTTTTCTTCTTTTTCTTCCAGTCTATTTATATTTTAGTAGCGAAACCCTCCCCCAAAAAAGTTGGCAAAAGGGGCACCAAGCTGAGGGACCCAGTCTGATTTTGGCCAACACGCGAACGTCGGACACTTGGCTGTGGCACAAAAGAAAGTACCCAACATGGGCCCTTGGATGGAAACAGAGACTAAAACCTGCGCAACCCTAGGCATTGAATTTTGAGCCGCACCCACTTTGCAAATGACACCAGCTGTTTTCCCTCGGTTTTTGGTGGTTTCTAGAAAGATTCGGATCCCTGGGTTCAGAACGGAATTGGAAGCTACCCCTAGAAGAATCTGCCAAAAGGTCTCAGAAGAGGAAGACCTGCAGCCCGTTGCAGGGAGCGATGGCCAGCAGCTGGTCTCCAATGGCTGGAGCGCCCTCGCGAAATGAAACGGCCAGCACCCCGTCCCATTTTTTTAGGGGGACCCCCCATTTCCGTCTCTCGGTTTCCCTTTGAAAACCAACCAAATCGGTTTGTAACCTCCAAAAACACACAAAAAACCTGGTTGTGGGGTACTTAAGCCTTTAGGGCAACTCACAAACGTGAACCAGTTCTTGCCAGTCCCTTCGATTTTGTTCATTCCTCCGATTGTACTTTCGGGGCGGGGAGAGTTCTAGCACGTGGCGACCACTCCCCCTGGGTGTCCCTTTAGATAAATCGATGGCGCTGGCAAACAACTCGAACCCGCTTCAACCTAGGCCATCCACAGGGGCTGCTCCCATACGACTCTGTCAGGGCAGAAAATTGTGCCCTACAACTGGGGAACAGGGCCCAATATCAACTTTGTCTTTCTACCCTTGTGGTTTGGTCAGGCTTAAAAGCGTAACGATCAACCCTGGCAACTTGTGAAATGCACTTTACAAAGAAGAAATCAGGATGGACACCTATTGTCAGGCCTGGAAGCCGTTCCCGGCGTCGTAGGAGGACACTTCATCCTGGGAGATAGCACCGTCCCTGTTGGCATCCAGCACTCGGTACACCTGGCGCGCGGGTTGACAGCAAGAAACACATGGGTGTGGCTCAAAAATAAGAAACCACAATGGAACCCTGGTAAGCGGAAACATGGACCAAAACCTGCGGTCCCCTGGTGGCTTAATTTTGACCCATACCCACATTGCTTTCGCTCTAGTCGATGTGTCTGCTAAAACTGATCTAGTTGATTCGCAATTGTTGCTCATGCAGCTGTAATTTCAAGCAAACAAAGTTAACGTATCTAGTTGGATGTTGCTTGTTCTATATGTCCGTATTCCAATGTCTTTGCGGTTTTATCCATCCTAGGTGGTGCAGGAATTTAGCGAGAAAGTGAAGCAGCGGTTTGCTGTTAGAGTATCTATAGTGCTAAGGGACTTGCTTGGCAAAGTGGGATACTCTGTTTAAGATTCAAGCGAGGTCCCTTTGGCATGGCCAAGAGAAGCAATGCGGTGTTCACAGCAAAGCGCAATCTTCCGTGCTTGATGGACCAGGGGTGCTTGAGGTAAAAAGCTAAGTTAAGGGTCCATGACCAACAATGGGTCGCAAAAACAAAGGTCCAAAGGTCGGTTCGCTTTGGGCAAGGGAGAATCTGGGAGTTCATTTTTGAGTGCCTGACTCTAGTTTGGGGGACCCCCGCCCCCCCAACATGATAACTGCATCTTTCCGCGTCCATCAACCAAACAAACACAACAACTTCCCAAAAACACAACACAAAAACAAAAAAAATCCCAAAAAGGGAGGCGTTCCCCCTCCGACTTCGCACGAAGTCGAAGCCACCGGGCATCGTCCCTCGCCTTCCCGCTGGCCGCCGCCACGTAGACGGCGCCGTCCCCGGCGAGGACGGGATTCGCGAAGGCGTCCGGCAGACAGCTGTGCTCCGCCGTGTCCCCCGCCGCGGGGCCCAGCCAGTCCTGAAGTCCGGACTTTCGGTTCTCATTTTTTTTGAGTGGACTGACCAACAAGAGAGTCCAAACTTGTTGTTTGCCAATTTTTAGACTAAAGTTGTGTTCCCAACAAATGCTCAAGTCCAGAGGTTTTAAACGGGTGGATTTGCCACTCACATCGTGTTCCCAAAAGTTTGACGTCCAGCAACTCAGGGAGTGAGGCTTGGAAGGACTTTTGTTTAATGGGCACTCTGGGGTGCCACCTCTGTGAATCATTCCCCCTAAACTAGGGACATGTCCAATCACGGTTCTTCATCCATACTTCACGTTTAAAGTCCACTAAGTCCAATACTGAATTAGAGCTATAGCAAGGGGATCCTTGTGAAGTTCATGGCCAAGCGTGACAAGGCCCAGATGCTAACTCCTGAGTGCTGATTAAAAAAGAAGAAGAAAACAACAGATCCTGGGAGGGAGTTCACTTGCTATTGGCTGTCCACGGAGGCAACCAACGCAAGGCAACCAACGCACGATCGCACTGAGTAGTGTTCATTTGTAGCATAAACGGAACTGAGCCCTTGAGTTTCTTAGGCGGGGTCTATTGCAATGTCGGAGTAGGAAAACGGGACAGTACAAAATATCGATGTAGTTGTGTGCGAAGCAATGCATTGTACGAACATGAAAACAAACAATGCCATCCAATCAAACGCTTATGGTTTTGAGTGTCTGTTAGGTCCTGGTCGCCAATAATCGCTAGTGGGCACTAAGAGTCATGGTGTAAGGCCCCCCTAAGGCCACCAGTTGCAACCCGACGACTAGTCACTAGTCTGCCTTGGCTCCCCTTGCTATGGCTCTCAATCAGCATATGGGGGTTGATCAAAAGGTCCTCTACGTGGGATGACCATTGGGGGAAGCCACCAAAAAGATGATATGTCCCACTAAATGGCACAAGTTACCCATGGTCATTTTGGGTATGGGTAACAATTAAATTAGCTACCAGGGGACCTTTACCAGGGTAAGCCATTTTGGGTATCAAGCCTGGACTCCCCTTCCCTGAAGGCCAGTTGGACTGGCCCCCACTCGCCAAGAGTCGGGGAGGGTCACCCTCCACCTGCAGCTCAAGCGGAGAATCGGGGCCGTCGAGAGGAACTTCGAGCTTTGATAAGGAGGTGTGCTTCTTTCAGTGGAGCCCGTTTTCAGCTTGGTTGCAAGGGGAAACCAAAAGGAGACCGCATTTTGTTGCTTTTTTTTGTTGTTTGGGGGGGGGGAGTGGGTCTCCCCCTCCATTTTGGCAAGTTCTTAAGGACACAAATGGGTACGTCTGTCAAACTACGGGTTTGACCCG